TCTCTAACTCAATAAGACAAAGGACCCAGTTGAAAATGGGCAGAAGGTGTGAACAGACACTTCACAAGTGAAGACATATGAATGGTCATTGGTGCTCAATAATGTTAATTATCAGAAAAGGACAAATTAAAATTATAATGAGATAACCCTGCACATGTCCAACAATGGCGAAAGGGTAGAGGCTGGTATTGCTGCAAACTGGCAAGGATGTGAAGCGTCTGGAGCCCCGTTGCGGGGAGACTGTGGGAATGGCCAGCCCCTTTGTGGACAGTAGACAGTGTCTTCCCCCCACAGTTCCTCCTGTGCATTTGTTTATCCAAGAGAACTGCTGGCATGTGTCTAAAAAAGACATGTAGAAAATCTGAGGACAGGGTCATTTTTAATAACCCCAGACTGGAAACAGCCCCAGTGTCCCTTAACTGGTAAAAGGATAAACAAATTATTGTACGGTATTACAGTAGAATGCTTACTCAGCAGTAAAACGGTCTGACGTGATAAAGATATCTACAACAATATGATGAATCTCAAGAATTTTATGCTAAGCGTTGGTCAAAGGCTATCTGCCATCTGATGACATTTGGATTAACTTCTAAAGAAGGTCTAACCATACTGACAGGAGCTTAGAGTACAGTGGTTGGCTGTGGCCATGGGGGCGGTTTGGGAGTTGGATCAGCAGCAAAGAGACACTTTAGGGTAAGGGGACTTTTGTATATGTTGACTTTAGAAGTGGTTACACCAATAGCACCCCCTAACCACTACCCCCGCAAAACAGACACTTATGGATGAATGTTATTGAACAGAAGTAATACCTTTATCAGAGCCCCCGAGTAGCACAAATAATTAAGGGCTTGGCTGTTAACTCAAATGTTGGTGGGTCAGTTTCACTCAGATTCCTAAGCACCTTGAAAGGAAGGCCAAGCGGTGTACTTCCAAAGCCCCCCCCCCTTCCCCTATTAAAAACCCCATGGAGCAAAGTGGTCCCCTGAAACTTATGGGGCCACCATGAGTCTGAATCAAATGGGTGACAACTGGTTTTAACTCCCGTAATAGATCTGTATTCAAATAAAGAAACAAAAGCCCTGCATCTGATTGTTTAAGTGCCTTTCAAATGGGTGTCCAAGTGCCGTGGGGGGTGTCATCCCGGAGCCTAGCGATAAGGTCACGCCAGGCTTGTGTTCTTTGCCATGCCTCAGAGCTGCAAATGCAACTCGCGTTGACCAGTTTCCACTGGCCGTTAGAATATGACCCTGGCGGAGCCCAAACAGAACTGAGCTTGTGTTTCTGTGCTAATGATATAAGTCTCCACCGTACTTTCTGCCAGGCGATGTTTGTAGTCATTACGCCCATTGAAGAAGAGAACAGAGTTATAATGAGCTGGGTGTTATCAGCTCACAAATAATTCATAATGGGCAAACTAGGACAGGAACAGAGCTTTTTTGGGCTAAGGAGGTTGCATGTCACTCTTTAAAACTAGGCCAAAATTTTACTTATAATGCATAGACAGTCTCTCAGAAAGTTAAAAGGTTCCTTTCTTCTCTTCCATGTGTTTGAACACTATGATTTTTTACCCTGGACTAGCAAAAAGGCACTTCAGCATCTTGTTCCTGTACCTGCAATCAGCCCTTGGTTGGGAGAGTGCATGTGAACCTAGTTACTTGGCTAGAACTGAGAGGCCTTTGTAGAATTCCCATAGGATTTCAAGTCCTATCAAAAGCGAAGAGCGAGGGAAAGGTATAGTGGGGGGCGGGGGTGGGGGGGCGCGGTAGCAGGGCGGGTAGCCTTGAATTTTAGAGGAGATTTGAAGAATTGCCCCAGATGTTAGCAGGAAGCCGTGTAATAGAAGATATATCATCAGTGTAAAAGGAGTTGTCATTTTGTGTTTTGAAATAACGTCCGAGTATGTGTACTGAGGAGCCCCAGTGGCACCGTGGTGAAGTGCTCGGCTACCAAGGGAATGGTCAGTGGTTCAAACCCACCAGCCTCTCCCTGGGAGAAAGATGTTAGACAGCGTCTTCATCTACAGTTGGCTTTGTAAAGTCTACATCAGGGCTGTACAAAGTGGGTGAATCTGCCCCCAGGGGGCACACTGGAAGGATTGGAGGGGGGCTGCAAAAGCAGGTGCCTATACTTTATCCTGGGTTGTGGACTGTAGTATAGAAGTTGTTGTTTTCATTGCCAGGGGGTGCTGAGTAATTTGTTTTCTTCCTGCAAAGGGAGCTGTGGGCCGAGTAAGTTTGGGAATCTATGGTCTGTAGCGCTGGAACCCCTGGGGCTTGGCTCTCTCCTCTCCTACAGGTCACTGTGAGTTGGGAATTGAGTCCACGGAAACAGGCTTGGCTTTGGGGGTGTAATGAGGCAAAAGCAAACAGAATGATTGTGACTATCCAACATGGCAACTGTGCAGGAAGATCTAGAAGTCCATGTGCTCCCAAGGGCTGCTTGGGAAGTAAACTCTTTAATGATACTGATGCCTATAGGTATGGATAGGTCCAGCTACCTCTCCCAGGGAAGGCAAATTCCTCTCATGGAAACTCAGAGTGGTCAGAAACCACCAATTCCCCCTAGTCTTGATCCCACATTGGCTGGTAGCGCATAACAACTGGTTAGCTTTTCCAGAAACCTTGATCCCGGGACCCAGGAGTGCCTGGGTCAGTGGACAGATTTGCTGGGCCGCACAGCCTTGACATGTGTCCTCTCAGTGAATGGACTTTCTCGAGCCCGGGAGAGGGGGGCCAGCTCTCCCAGCCCTGCTCCCGGGCAGCCTCAGTGCCTGTGTGAGTTCACAAAGAGCCAGGGTCCCTGGAGCAGCAGTGCCGCCGCTGGACTTTCTCTGAGGAAATGGATGCTTCCTGCACCGTGCATGTCTTGTTCAGTTTCCATACATGCTCGATCTGGGCTGCCTTTGGGAAAAAGGATTTGGCTACACACAGCACCCGCCAGATATTGACCCTTTGTTGGGACCGGCATGTGCTCTGTCCCATGGCAGACACGCCTTGTCTCACCAACTGGATGGTGAGCAGTGGCCAGGACACAGGGTCTTAGTGGCACCAGCTCTTTGCTGGACACTCGGAACACCTACTCCCCTTTTTTAACTTAGCACCAGGCTGGGGTGCACTGGGTTGGGGAGGACATTGTTTGGTTCCACCATTAGCCAAAGATGGGGGTCTCAAAATGAACCCCCCGGATGGCCACAATCTTTATAAACAGCAAGTCATTTGCTGTCAGAAGGCAAAAAAAAAAAAAAAAAATCCATGACGTCAGTGTAAGCAGCGTGTGCGATGGCGCTGTTCTGTGTATGCATTTGCATCGGACTCAGAACTGACGTGTCATGAATGCTGTCTCTCTTGGTGGCCAAGAGAGTCTAGCAACACGCATGTCTGCCCCATCACTCAGCTCTGAGAGAGGCTAGTTCGTGTCCCCCACCCCTGAAAGCGTGTTGACCCAGGATCCCCACAGAACACACTGATTCAAAAGAAGGCTCTCAGTTTCATCACGAGGCCCGTGGCCCGTGGGCTGTTCCGGTAACCTGTGGGCTTTGTGTTTACAGAGCTTCTCGAAACAAATCTGAGAAGAAGCGTCGGGACCAGTTCAATGTCCTCATCAAAGAGCTTAGCTCCATGCTCCCTGGCAACATGCGGAAAATGGACAAAACCACCGTGCTGGAAAAGGTCATTGGATTTTTGCAGAAACACAACGGTAAAGGATGTGCTTCTCTGGTTGTCCTCCAGCCCTGCCCTATCCTTCTGTGATGATTTCACCTACCAGTGTTCAAATTCCTTCTCTCTCCCGGCCGTGGCCAGTCACACCAGCCACAGGCTTCCTGTTGCAAAGGCACCGCCCACCACCCCCACCCACCACCTCTCTCTCTCTCTCCCTCAGCCCCACCTGCAGCAGGTTTCAGGCAGGACAGTCACCTCTCAATTTGCTTTACAAGCTGGAGGTGAGCACCCAGCCCCAGCAGGGTGGTCTTAATATTGGGAACTTCTTCATTTAACATGTCTGGAGGAAGCTTTCTTTATTTTTGCCACTCGGCCCCGAAAAGATGTAATGCCAAGTCTTATTTTCCACGGGGGCCACCTGTCCTGGTTTCGCCATCCTTCTTTGCTTCCCTGCCCCTAAAGTCTTTAGGCGGCTACACTACACCATGACAAATAAGAGTAATTGCAGATGAGTTATCTGCTGAATGCCAGCTTCTTTCTCTTCATCGAGATATAATTCACACACCCTCCAATTCCCCGTTTTGAAAAGTACTATTCAGTGGTTTCCGGTTATATTCCCAGGGTGCACAACCACCCCCTTCCCTGTTTCAGTTCATCACCCCTGAGAAGGAGACCCAGGCCCATCAACGGCCGCTCCTGTCTCCCCCTTTCACTCAAGCTCTTGGCAACCACTCATCTCTTTCTGTCTCTATGCGTTTGCCCGTTTAGGACATTTCATACAAATGAATCATATAATGTCAGGCCTTTTGTGTTTTCCTTTTTACTCAGCATCCACCTGGTAACGGCCATCCATCCCTTTTCATTTTTATGGCAGACTAATATTCCACTGATAGACCACGCTTGATGGACAGTTGCTCTGCTTCCGCATTGAGCTATTATGAATAACATGAATGTGAATACATGTGTATGCGGTTTTGTTTGAGCATATGGTTCCTGAGGACCATGTGTACTTGTAAGTCCCTGGAGTGTGAGCTCCCAGCTATTGACGATTTGTTCTGGCCTGTTCGATGTGAAGTCAGTTTTCCCTCCCTTCGAAGCAATTGACTCCACTCCGACTCGGAGTACATGCATCGGAGTACATGCATCGCCATCCCCTTCACTGACTGCAAGCACAGCTTTCAGATCACTGGGAAAAGCTTCAGGGCTTTCTTTGCACTTAAATCTAAATATTTGCCAATTTGATTCAAAGACATACTTGGGAACGGATCTCATTCGTAACCCCGGGGCTGCCTGTACAGACTGAGGAATAGAATTGTTAGGTCATTTGGTAACTCCATGTTCAACTTTTTGAGGAACTGCCAGATTTTTCCACTGCAGCTGTGCTATTTCATATTCCCACCAACAAAACATTCTTGCCAAATTTGTTATTGCCTCCCCCCTTTACCCCGTTCCCATCCTCTTCCTGCCTTTTAATTGTAGCCACCTTAGTGGGTGTGAAGTGATAATTCACTGTGCTTACTCATTTGTATTTCTGTAGTGACTGATGACCGTGGAGCATCCTCGGTACTTATTGGTCATTTGGGTATTTTCTTTAAAGAGGTGTCTAGACAGATGCTTTGGCCACTTTAAAGCTGGGCTATTTGTCTTTTGGTTGAATTATAAGATTCTTTATATTCTATCTAGACTGTAGATCCTTACTGATATGTAATTCGCATACATTTTCTCCTATTCTGTGAGTTATCCTTTCAGTGTCTAAATGATTTGTTTCATAGGATGCAGAAGTTTTTCACTTGGATGAAGTCCAGTCTACCTTTTTTTAAACCTTTGGTTGTACTGTGGTATCAATTATGTCCCCTCAAAAAGGTGTACTATAAATCCTAAACTCTCAGCCTGTGGTTATAACCCCACTGGGCGGAGGCTGTCTTTGGTTTGTTAATGAGACAGAAATCATGTACAGTCTATCTTGAGTCATTCTCTCATGCGATAGAGAAGGAGAATGAAGCAAGTGGGCTGAGAGATGGGGTGAAAGAGATACCAAGACACCTAGAGATCTCTGAGCCGAGTTCATTCCCCCTGAACCCGCAGGAAGAAGCTGTGTCCTTGAGCTGACACTCAGGCGTCTAGCTGAGAAAACAAATCCCCATTTGTCATGAAAGACATCCACTTACGGGATTTCTGTTGGAGCAGCACTAGATAAGGAAGGCAGGATTTGGACTGGAAACGAGTGCTGCTCCAGCTGACACCTAAAACGAGGACGTGGTTTCAGAATTGGGTGATCGCTAGAGACAGGAACAGTTTCAAGATGCCTAGTCATAAACCCCTCAGCCTTACTTGCTGAAAGTGAGGAGAACTTGAAGCCCTGCTGATGTAGATCAAGGCTTGCAGCCTTCACTATGGATTATAACTCAATGTAAAGAAAACCAAAATTCTCACAAGGAGCAGCAGGTAACATCACGATAAATGGAGAAAAGATCGAAGTTGTCAAAGACTTTGTCTCGCTTGGGTCCACAGTCACTGCTCATGGAAACAGCAGTTAAGAGAGTAAATCTGGGGGGAAATCTGCTGCACAAGATCTCTTTAAAGTGTTGTAAAGCAAAGACGTTACTTTGAGGAGTAAGGTGTGCCTGGTCCAAGTTGTGGTATTTTCAGTTGCCTCGTATGCTTGTGAAAGTTGGACATTGGATAAGGAAGATTTAAGAAGAATCAATTCAAAAATCAGCTTTTGAATGAAGGTGCTCTCAAAGAATATAGAAAGTACCATGAACTGCACGATGAACAAGCAGGTCTAGCTTGGAAGAAGTACAGTCCAAATGCGCTTCAAGATGAGCAGACGTCATCTCACGTTCTTTGGACAGGTTATTAGGAGAGTTTAACCCTGGATAAGTGCTTAGTAGAGCAGAGTGGCCGTGCGAGAGAGGAAGGGGGTCAGCAAGATGGGCTGCCGCAGCACTGCCACAAGGGCCCAAATCTAACAATCGGGAGGATGGCACAAGACCCAGAGCCAACTGGACGGCACCTAATAACAACAGTAAATGCCCAGATTGCCTTGAAGAGACTGTTGGTAGAATTTTAGGTGCCAATGGCAATTCTGGTGAGAACGTTAAAAAAAGTGAGGAGAGCTATAGAAAAATCTCACTATCTTTGAAAAGACAAGGGGGCTTCCTAAAATTCATAGAAACTTGGAGTATAAGATAATGACATTTTCCCACAAACTTTCTGAAGGCCCCTTGTCTGTATGTCACCACCAATAGCTGTTGCTGGAACGTGGACATTAAATGTGCTTCTGGTGAGGCTTTAAAATAAAACGGTGGGCATGTGATTCGATCATGGAAGAAGGGTGATCCTTTTTATGCAGTGGCAAAGAATTTGTCCGAATTGTGCTCAAATGTATGGTGGGAGGTAAGACTTGTGATCATTGAACTTGGCTTTATCTGCTGATGAGCTTTCTGAGCAGGATCTTAAAGGGACTGGATGGCTCCTCCCTGCCAGTTACAGAAAAATGCAAGAGAAAGGGGTTGGATTTCAGAATGAACTGTGCAAAGTGAAAACGGAAGCGAAAAGGACAATCCATGAAGCACACGCAGAGTCACCAGAACTGCTGGAAGGAAAGCAGGAAGCAGGGCTTTCTCACTTTCAAAGGGCGAGGCTCTGCCCATCAGAATTGCAAATGGCAGGGCCACCGCCTTCTAGGTTTCAAAGAGTCAGCCCTTCACCAACTCAGTCCCTGAGTTTGGAGCTGTTGTGAAAGTGTGCTGGGGGGTGGGACTCCTACCCCAAAATGAAGGATGGGCTGCCATGCCAATGGGCAGAAGAACAGGGCCTGCTGGGGCTGAGGGCACAGGGTCAGCACTCTGATGGACCCACCCAAATCCAAAGCCGCAGCATTGCCTTCCCCAAGGGTCTAGAAGGCAGGGCTGAAGCCCAGGGGCCAAGAAGCCTCCACTCGGAATCCAGACAGCATGGCTAACCCCTAGTCTGGTGAGCAGGGCTACTGCCTAGATTGTCCGAGAGAAGACAAGATTACTTTCAAGCCCTGGGAGCTAATGTGGTTTGTGATGGGTGTTGGACTTGCTCGGTACCTGTTACTCCTTCTTTCCTTCCAATGTCTCCCATTTGTAATGGAAATGTCCACCTTGTGCCTGTTCCACCATGGTACTATGGAAACAGATAACTTCCTTTCTAGATTTCACCTGTTCACAGATGAAGAGCAATTCCTCCCCAGGATGGAAGGACCACTACTAAAATCTCACCCATATTTGATTGAGATGATTCAGAGGAGGAAAAATGTGAACTTGGAGTTGACTTTAGACTGGGGGGGGCGGGGGGAGGAATGGGCTGGGCTGAAGATGTTGGCACTTGGCAAGAGCATAAATTCTTGGGGGTGCCAAGGGCAATTTAAGGGATTGAGTTGTGTCAATGAGGGAGGATTAGTAGGATGTTTTCCGGGGGTTGGGGTGGGGGTGATTAAAACAAGCCTGCAAAACAAAAAACAAGCAACGAGAGACAGAGAGAGATGGAGATGGAGATCTGTCAGGAACTAAGAAGCCAAAGCTCAAGAGACCCCACCTTCCTTCAGGCCCAACAGAGACGGAATAAGCGTCCTAGATCTGGCTCTGAATTCAGACTTCTGGCCTTCAGAGCAGAAAAGAGAAGTACCGCCTGTTAAACTTCACACTTGGCAGTGTTTCTGTTCGTGCAGCACTAGATGACAATGACCAGCTGCTTGTGCTTCAACTCCTTACAAGCCCATGGATCGCCCCATGGGCACCACCTGGTCCTGAGCCATCCTCACCATTGCTTGTATGTTTCAGCCTCTGACTGCTTAACACTGGCCACACCCTCCCTGCCACACCCCTGCCGGTGACACCCCAACAATCAGAATATCTAAAGGAGTTTAGGAACTATTAACAATCAGGAAAGGCAGAGTTCTTTTTTGCCTTAGCCATGGCACCAAACCCAATAAGGTCAGAAGTGTCAGCATTATTGAGGAAATAATGACAGGTCCTCTGTGCCTTCGCTGATGGCTTCTCGTCCCCG